TGTGGGAAGAAACCAGCGCAGATGCAGGCAGACTGGCTGGCAGATGTGCTCCAAAGTTAAACTCTACAAAAAACAAATGCAAGCTACAAAGGAAAGAAAAAAAAATAAGGGTTCTATTGTGGCAGGTAGTTTTCCATTTTTTCTCACAGTTTTCTTTCACCTGCTCATGATGCTCAGCTGTTTACAGTACATACATGTAAATGCTGGCCTTAAAGTGCACCAACTCTCAGACTGCAGTGCATTTGTCTGATTATTCTATCAGACGTCACGAGGAAAAGCTGGAATTGTGGCAGAAGAATCACTGTTGGGGTAACAGAGGACGGGTGAAGCAGTTTGACGCTGTTTCAATAGGATAATGTGAATAATGTGACATGGCCGTGTAGATCTATGGGACAGAAATGAGGAAACAGCTTGTTTCATGACTTTGACGCTCCAGCTTGGAACATGTAAGGGAAAACAGATGTGCGGCTCTTCCTCAGATGCTGTAGAACAATCACTGCTCTTTACAGATGTGGAAAAACTGACAGAGTCAGCTGAGTCATCCTTTGCTATATTCTAATCAAGCGGGCAAGTGCATGTGAGGTGTACTTCCTGAGGACAGCACAGGCCGGATCCGGTGACTCTGCCGTGCTGTGGGAGGATTGTTCTGGCATGGTTTGGATCCAGCTTTGGGATCGGACAACTTCACCTTCAAACCTTCGGTCCACAGGTGGAGTGTCTCGGGAAAGTTGCAGAGACTCGAAGCTCTAAAAACCTTACCAGAAAACATTTTCTATGTAAGACAAATTTAAATCAAAAATTCTAATGAACAACTTTAGTATTACTTAGCTTTGTATTGTGATGTGTCATAAAGACTGGAACCGCTCAACAGCCCACCTGCTAACTGCGGAAATCTCACTTGAATAGAATAACATGCCTGAAGGCAGTCGGTGCAGCAGTCCTACAATAAACCCTGTCTTCATGACGGCTATAATGTTGAACCCTTTTTTGAAAGCGAGCGTGTTGTTGTTTTATCTACACACAGAAAGATCTATGGAAACATGGCTGATGTAGCAGCTGAGCTTCTTTCATCCAAAATTGATGAAGGTAAATCGAGTCACAGATGTGACTCTGCTGGTGGCAAAGAGCACAGACACCAGGGTGGAGACGTCATGTTGTGACACTGGAGGTCTCACCAACACGAATATTTTTGTATTTACCTACAGTTAGTCCAGCCTCTGCATAACAGCTGGGAAACCTCATGTAATTTGTGATTATCTTAATAACCAGGAACATCTGATTACAGTAACCGGATTAGCTGCTGTAAAAGGAAAATGTCTTTAATGTACAAACATTAAGAATCCTGTCATACTATCACAAAATCACTCATCTCCATCAGGCCAGAGGGTAATAATGAGAACAGTTAAAATAATAATGATGACTTATCATACTGTGATCACAAGTGATGTGGATATGGAACATGAGGAACAAAAGGTTTTTCCTCCACAGCGCATTAAAAATGTCTTTATAATCGAAACTAATGATGGTCTAATGTGGAGGCCACTTTGGTTCAGATTACGGGTAAAACAGCAGATTATAAATGACAAAAGTAGCTATCAAGATAAAATGATGATCTTACCACAGTCTAATTTTAATAATAATAAACAGAGTGCTTTTTAAAAGATAATTAAATTAACGGATTAATAAAGTGTTCTGATTCTGTGGGAACCGTAGCCTCAGTTTCCTGTTCTAGTTCTGAGTAACCCGATTACTTTTTTCAAGTAACAAGTAAAGTAAGGGATTACTATTGCAAAAACGGTAATTAGATTACCGTAAGCACGCTGCGTTACTGCGTTACTAAAACCGTGATTTTTTTGCGAGAATGTCTCATGACAGTGACGTAAGCAAGTGCAATGTTCGTGACAACAGCTGTGTGCAGATCAACAATGGATCATATATCGAGTGCGGGAGAGAGTATGAGCGTGCAGCGTTTAAAGCGTGGAAGTACTGACCTTACTTTGAGTTTGATTCCATAAAAAGTGACAAAAACATTAGTGTCCGCTGTGCGTGGGAAGAAAACTTCTTTTTACAGCGAAAAAAACCCCTAAACTTCCAAGCAAGCACCAAGTGCTCTACGAAGTAATGGGAAACTCACAGAGAAACTCACGGATTCTTCCACTGACCGCGGCACACCTGCACCAGGGTAAACCTCCGCCTACCTCACTCCTGCTTTACAGGTGAAAATAGAGCAACAGGACCGCTAGTCTTTGACTTTATTTATTTTCTGCTGTGTTTTACTTGCATCTATTTGAAAGACTGAGTGTAAACACAAAAAAATTATTTTATGTGCTGGAATGTGCAGAAAATAGGTTTAAATGTTAAACAAATTTCTTCCAGTCAGAGAATGTTGCAGATAATTAAATTTTTGCTTGATGCATAAAGTTAAAAGATTAAAACTAATAAAACAAGTTTTAAAAAGGGACTTTTCCATTTGATTACATTTTGTATGATGGATTATGTAGAAAAAGTAGAATTGGGCTGAAAGATCTATCGCTTTATCACCTATTCAGGTTGTAAATCGTGTTTTTAAAAAGTAACTAAGTAACTAAGTAACTAAATAAAAAAAAACATATCAGGTTTTGATGCATGTTATTTATTGGTGTTGGGGTTTATATAACTTAGTTATATTTTTGCTCCTTCTGTAGTTATGGCTATCTGACTATGTGAGGTAGTACTGGGACTGTCAAAGTAGACATTAGGCAGCAGGATCCATTAATAGAGTCACCGCAGTGAGTGAACTTAAGAAGGCTTTGTCCCCACTACTCAGTGGATCCATAATGGCTTTATGGACTCCCCGCCTCTGCCATCATGAATAAATAATCTACAGGTCTACGTGTCTATTGGCTGCGTGTGCCTGTCATCCAGCTCTGAGTTTACTCTGACAAGCCGCATGAGTCCAAGCTGCTTTATGGGGACTAAAAGAGGAAGGTGGGTGATTATACTTTCAGAATAAAAGCGTTCAAGTATGTGGTCCACCTAATGAAGGCTCTGGGTTTCAGGACACCTTTATTCCACTCTTATCACGACAAGTTTAAACTGTTTTACACGTTTTGTCTTCAGTGGCTTACATTTTTTTATATTTATATAATTCATGCAATTAATTTAAATTATTTTATCTTTCATATTGGCTCCAAACGCTCCCAAAAAATAACTGAAAACTGACTTTGGACTTTTCAAAGTGAAAATATTAACTATCTTATATTCTGTGCTTATAGTAAAATTTTGAAGTTTTTGTCAGATGTTTCTCTCACACAAACTTAAGCTGTAATTTTGACCTAGTAAGTCAGAAATTAGACTGCAAATGACTGGTAACTAAATTTGGATTTTAAAAAGTAAAACATTTTTTTAATTCTTGGTTATTTATTATTTAATTATTGTCATGAATATTATTATTGTTAATGTTAGTTCATTCAAAATAAAATAAAAATGTAACTTTATACATTAAAACCACCAGTTAAAACCAGTTAAAATACAACATATTGACATCCTCAGTCAAAATGGGACTTAAAATCTCACAGTTTTGACATTAAACACCCTGGGTTGTTTTAAAATTGTTTAAAATTCACTTGAAAATCCTGATTTTTTCAATATCAAATAATCCTTTTTTTAATGGCTCTGTCATGTGATGGTAAACAAATTCACCTAACAAGTGAAAGATGCCTTGTTTGATCTCAGGTAGAGACACAAATCCCTTCAGAGCTCCATCTGGAAGGACAAATCCTTAGAACATCTGCCAAATCCAACATGCAGAGCTACCCACTGTGACGACCACCTTGTGAACAACGGAGTAGCCGAAAGTAGTTTTGTAAATAATTTCCAGATTTGCATCTAAAAACACCACAAAACCTCTGGATGAATTTCCTCTGGACTGATGAGACCAAAGTGAACGGTGCACAGTGGAATTTGGAGAAATTGGAGAAAACCAAATTCAGCTTCTAGGCACAAACACCTCCTGCCAAGTATTAAGCAGGGTGATGGAGGAGTGATGATTTGGGCTTATTTTCCAGCCATGGGGGCCTGGGCTCCTGCCAGCCACAGAGTCGACCATAAACTCAGAGTCAAATGTGAAGCCCAAAGGCCCATCTGGGCCATACGACAGGACAATGACCCCAAACACAGCAGCAAGTATATAACACGATGACTGGGGGGGGGGGGAAAGGAAAAGAATCGAGGTGTTTCAATGACTAGACCTCAACCTCAAATGCTATGGTGGGACGTTATGAGAGGTGTGCATAAATAAATGCCCACAAACCTCAATGAAATGAAGCAACACTGTAAAGAAGAGTGGGCTGAAATCTCCCACAACCACGTGACAGACTGAAAGTTATACGCAAAGTTATTTCTTCAAGTTATTAAAGCTAAAGGTGAATCTATGAACTGTGAACGATGGCGCGTTTTTACAAGCTGCTTCTGACATTGTTTCTGGGGTAAATAAATAATGACATTGTGTAGTAAGTAATGTGTTGATGTTCTCCTGCAGTTGTAAGACCTGGTGAGGATTATTATTATTATTATTATTATTATTTAACATTTCCTGATATGCAAAATCTTAAAATTGTCAGTGGGTGTACTTTCTTCTAAATTTGGACTTAATATGTAAATCGTTTTGACTTCAATTTGTTATGTTTTCTCTTGGGGTCTTAATTGTGTGATTTATTTTTATGTTTTATATATTTTCTTTGAAGAAATATGATGAATTTTAATCTTAATTTCTTGCTTTTTCTTGTGGACTCCTGCCCTTTTCCCTTTATGTCAGTGTTTTTAGTCCATATTGAGCCTCGTCTTCTCTTTCTTGGTTTCCTGCACTGGCAGGAGCCGTCTACTCTGACTGGTTTTTTTTATTTTGAAAGGGTTGACAGGAAGCTTTCTCGTTTCAGTCGCTCTAACTTCCAGTGGAAGTTGGACACCCTCAGAGCCTGAACTCAACAACAAGCTGGCACATCACAGCCAGTTGTGCTTTTCCTCTTCTCTCCCTGTGTTCTGGGAGTCCTTCTGTCTCCCCCCACCTCTGCCTGCAGTCACGGCGGGAGTGGGTGTGTCAATGCGGGCCCGTGGAGCCTAGTCGCTGCTTGTGCGCACTCTGAAAAAGAGGAAAAAGTTGATGATGAGTTTAGTGTGAAAGCGGCCCGCCTCGGAGCAGGCTAACCGTCCCGGAATGGCAGTTTGGACCCGAGCAGACAAAAACGGACAGCTGGACCTTCTGCTCCGTGACCGCTGGATCCGAGTGACCGCCGAGCTCACCCGAGAAACGCTCACTTTGACGGCCGACGCGGAGGCAACCGGCCCCGGGACCAATCACTGGGACTACAGCAACTCTTCGGCGGGCCTGCGAAATGGCATGTCAAACGGAAACGACCCGGGAACGAGTCCCGGGAACCCCGGCCGCGGTCATTCCTCGGGTCAGGACCAACTCCAGAACCAGAGCCACGGGGGTCGGGGGCGCAGCGGCAGCCCGGGACGCGGGGGGGTCAGTCGGGGTCAGTACGACGGCGGTTACAGCATGAACAGCCCTGGAAAGTACCCGAATAACGGCACTAACTCAGACTTCGGGAGCCCCGGCTCCAGCTACGGCAGCCCCGGGTCCAGTTTCGGGTCGAGACCAGGCGACTTCCACGTCAGCGTGGACGGGTCTTCGGAAGCTGTGCGCAAAGTCCGGGTTGTCAAACAGGAGTCTGGCGGGCTGGGGATCAGCATTAAGGGGGGGCGCGAGAACAGGATGCCCATCCTCATCTCAAAGATCTTCCCGGGGCTCGCCGCAGACCAGAGCCGGGCTCTCCGGGTGGGCGACGCGATCCTGTCGGTGAACGGCAACGACCTCCGGGAGGCAACGCACGACCAGGCGGTCCAGGCGCTCAAGAAGGCAGGCAAAGAAGTCACGCTGGAGGGTAAGTTGGCCCACGCGAGAGCGGGGATTTGAAAGGGCCGAGATTAGAGTCCTGTGGTCAGGCTGCACACCTCTATCACATCTCCAGGAACTTTCACAGGTTTCAGTTCAGCTCCGGGACGTCGTATTCCAGCACGTGTTCGAAAGGTGAGCGCAGTTTCCATACTTGGATTAATAGCTTCAAACCATTTGTGGAAACACGTCACATGTTGGAGCACGCAAGTAAAAAGAAAAGTGCACAAGTTGCCAGTTACACAGCAGGACTGAGTTTTAAAAAAGCACTTCTGGAGTAATACTTTTAATTTAATCTGCACACCACATCGCTCCCTCATGGCACTGCGTGGTGCAGAGTGCCATAAACTCTTTTTGGATCGCTCCACACACGTCCTGTGGGTTTGTAACTTTCACCACACATAATTGTTTGCATAACACATTATAATATAGACATAAACACACACAATCCCAGTTGATCTATGACTAGGAGGCGTGGAGGAGGAGGAGGCTGTGGAGGAGCAGGGCTTAAGTAATATCAACAGAACAGAGAGTCTTTGATTAGTGTAAACAGGAATGTAACCACAGCTGTGGTCACAGTCAGAGTTGGATACATTGTACTCTGTGTCTGAGCAGTTGTGGATTACTAAAGGATGAGAAATCACAGTAAACACGAGCAGAGATTTGTCTGTGGTTGAAGGTGCTGGTCGGCAGAAAGTGATAAACAGACTTGATCTATATTATTATTATTATTGTAATGACCGCTGTTGCGATTTAGCGATATAAAAATAAAATTAAAAATAAATCAATATTCTATCTCATATAAATGAAAAAATGCATAAATGTAAAGTCTCACAAAGTGCACACACGTCCTCAAATTGGAACACTGACGAATTTCTCAGTCTAATTCCCTTTTTCCACATTTAAAATGTGGAAAACAGGAATAAGGAATTTTCCTAAAACACCATCTGCACCAGTACGAACATGTTATCTGTGCCCACCGAGGCACACGTGTCAGTTAGAAAAGAAAAGGCAAGTACTAGAAATAACATTTCGAGCACCTAAAATAAATACGAAGCTATAATGTATAGATCAGTTTTGATAGATTTGGAAAAATGTGAATAATTTGATGAATAAAATTATGGCAAAATAAATTAAAGGGTAGAAAAAATAAGCTATGTATACATATATTAAAAATAAATATATATTTGTAGAAGTTTGAATTAAAACATAAAACGTGGATTTTTGGTTTGGCTTAGAAATTTAAATATTTGCATGTACTGTACTTTGCAAAAGTCTTGAGCCACCGTTCAGTTCTTTGTGTTTTGCTGGGAAAATAGGAAATACATGCAAACGTGCACAGTAACACAGTCTATAAGGCTGTGTTATACAATTCTAACAAGTTCGAAAGTCACCATTTTGTGTGACCACCTTTATTTTTCAGCACAGCCTGAACTCTCAGCCAAGCTTTCATGTAATTGCTTTAAGTAGTCTTCAGGAATAGTTCTCTGGGGGTCTCGAAGGACATTCAAAGCTCTTCTTTGGATGTTTGCTTCCTTTTAATTCTTCCGTTCTCCGTTAAGATGATACCACATTGGTTGCCATGCTGAAAAATGAAGCCGTTACCAATCAAATGCCTTCCAGGTCATATTGAATGGTTCTTCAAAATTTGACAATGCTTTTTTCTTTTCAGCTGAAGGGTGTGATGCAT